GAGCTGGGTAATGAAAATTCAGGAGCTGTGCGTGTTAGCTTTTATTGCAAAGCTGTTCCTAGAGGGAAAGGCAGGAATTAATTTGGTATTTGAGGCTTGGGGGGTTTGGGGTCTGGTTGTTTGTTTTACCTGCTGGTTCCCCCCCTGGTTTCTGGGGGAAGCGGTGCCGGGGTTGGCTACGGCAGAGCTGGAAAACCTAAATACCTGCGTTCACCCCGACTTCTTACAGCCAGGGAATGGATTTGTTCCTTTCTGTAGGATTGCAGGGAGCGGGACTGACACGGCCAGAGCCACAGCACTGCTGGGGCAGGCACAGCATTCCTGTTCCTGGCAGGGACCAGGCACAACATCCCTCTTCCCACACGGAGACCGGGCAGGGCTTGCAGGCAGCAAAGCCTCCAGTTGCTTGAGATGGGGACTGCAACGGGAATCACCCCTTTAAAACCTCTGGATTTGATAATATCACTTCCAGAAAGCCACCCCCAGCTGTGGAGTAACCAGGCATTTCTGGTCAGGTTTAAATCCCAATTTCCCAACTCATCAGCGTTTAATCAACGGCAGGAGCGATCGTGGCCACCCCACAGCTCCAGCCAGCTCAGATACCTGCAGACAACGGGCCTATTCCCAGCTCCCAGCCCTAGGAAGGGCAAGCCTGTCTCCAGTAGCAGCTTGCCCAAGAGCTGGTGGCCGTGTGGCACTGCCTGAGCTGGGCTCTGCCGGATTGAGAGCAGTGAAGTGGCCCCAGCCTCTCTTTGCCCAGTTCTCTCTGATTTTACAGCCTCTCTCCTTTGCCTCGTGGCTGAATTGGGATTTAGGGTGGGGTGGGTTGGCTCCTCAGTGCCAGGAAACAGAGACCCCCCCCCAAGAAAAAAGCAGAAGCTGCAGCCCAAGGCTGGGGGCAAAACCCCCCTGACACCCAGAGCCAGCCCAGTCCGGTGCATCCATCCCCATCTCCTGCAGATAATTCCACGTGGAACACGTGATGTGAGGAGCTAAAGCCAGGCCAGGGATGGCAGCGAGCAGGGGGCACTGCCAGGATCTGACTCAGAGCTCTGGTGCCAGCAGAGCCGGGCTCTGGTGAGTGGCACCGTCCCCAAGGACCCCCCGACCTCAGCCCTGCTCTGGGCTGGTGTTCACCCCATTCCTCTCTCATTAAAGTTTCCTGGGAGGATGAGCTGGTTGGCCTCCTCACGCCCAAGTTCCTGCTGGGCTCCACCAGCAGATCCCGAATTTATCCCCTCCCAGGCTCCAGGAGAGACCCAACGAGCTCCAGCCCCGCCGTACTTGCAGTTTTTGCACTTTAAGCCGAACAACATTCCTTTCCCACAGACAGTGCAGGTCTGAGACATCCAGTACTTGGTGGAAAACCTGCGGAGGGAAACACAGAGAGTAGGAAATGAGGGATGAAGCCCCACTTATCTCCTGAGCCTTGATTTATCCCGCCCTTTTTGCCCTCAGACACCGTTGCGGGTGCTGAGGAATCTTTCCAGGGATGCCAAACCCCAAACCTGACCCCGCTCTGGTTATGCAGAAGGGCACAACCTGCTCCAAAGTGCTCTGAGCCAGCCAGGATGGGCATTTGCCCACCTCAGGCAGCTTTGCCCAGCCCAGGCACCCCCCAAAACCCCTCCTTGCCCTGGGGACCCAAGTGCCCAGCCCAGCAGCTGCCCCATCAAACAGCAGCACTGAGACCATTTCCAGTGGCTTTCCCTCTTCAGGTGGATGTGGAAGGGCAGTAATCCAGAGATGGGGAATTTGCTGGAGGTTGGCAAGGTCATGGATAATACCCAGCTTTTATTGGTAGGGCCTTATCTAACCCAGATCTGGACTGAAAGGGAATTGAACTGGGCTTTTGGGACAGCACAGCACAGCAGGGGAGAGATGGGGAAGAGTCCTGAGCCCCCTGCCCTGGCTCAGAGATGGAAAGGGAGATGTTCCTGCCCCGGGAGCACGGCAGGGTGGGAGTACCTGTGTTTTATGGAGTTTCCCAGATCCCGCCGGGGGATCTGCGGGGACCAGCGAGGCACTGACAGCGTATCTGCAGGAGAGACAGGGCAAACCATCAGGGCAAACCAGAGCCAGGGCTCAGCTTTCTGGGGAGGGCAGCAAAGGATGCACACCAAAACAAAAAAAAAAAATGGGGTTTTCCTGATATTTCCCCTTGGAGACGCTTCCCTTCGGGAAAGAAGAGGCCTCTGGGCTTTGTGTTTGGGGGTGAGGGAAAGGGGGGCGTCTCCTGTCCCCCCATAACCCAGTTTGGACCAGGGGGGTGATGCCCCCACGTGCAGGCAGAGCAGGACTGCGAAGCTTTTGGGACCATGTGGCGATGTCCAAACGGGAAAGGGAAAATAAAGCTGGAACAGCATCTTTTACACTTTCTAATAAGACATCACGTCTGGCAGGGGGGGCTGAGCAAAAAACCGAGTGCCAGGTGGTCAGGAGGAGATTCCACTCGTATTCCAAGAGAAGAATATGGCAAAAAGCAGCCTCGGTCCTCTCCTTCCGTGGGAAAAGGAGGGAGAAAGGGTGAGGAAGAAGAGGTGAGTTCATTAGCACTGGAGCAGGACGTTAATTAGCAGCGTGGCCTCGGGCTCCACATCCCCCTTCAGCCTCACAAAGGCACAGTCCCTCCTCTCCCTCCCGGAGAAGAGGCCACGGAGAGGCAGGAATCTGTGCTGGGATTCAAGGGCTGGATTCTCAATAAGGGTCTGGAGAGGTTTCCCAGGCCCAGGCCCCAAAGCCCAGCACGAGCCGAGGGCTGTGGCACAGCCCGGCCGTTTGCTCCGTGTGCCGGCAAATCCCCGGGCAAACAGGCGCTGGATATTATCCCTGGGAGTCAGAGAGCCACTGTTTGCTCCAATATCCCATTTTAATATAGCAGGCGGAGGGGAGCTCTAATTGCACTCGCCTGCTGAAGGTTACATTTACATCCTGCTTCCTGTGCCAGGGACCGAGTCCTGGGAGCATCCTGAGCTCCATCCTCCTCCAGCACCATCCCAAACTGCTTCCCTTCTCCAGCATCGTCCTAAACTGTTCCTTTTCCAACATTCTGAACTGCCTCCTTCTTCAGGATCCTAAACTGCCTCCTCCAGCACCATCCTAAACTGCCTCCCTTTTCCAGCACCATCCTAAACTGTTCCTTTTCCAACATCCTAAACTGCCTCCTTCTTCAGGATCCTAAACTACCTCCTTCTCCAGCACCATCCTAAACTTTTCCTTTTCCAACATCCTAAACTGCCTCCTTCTTCAGGATAATCCTAAAATGCCTCCTTCTTCAGGATTCTAAACTGCCTCCTTCTCCAGCACCGTCCTAAACTGTTCCTTTTCCAACATCCTAAACTGCCTCCTTCTTCAGGATCATCCTAAACTGCTGTCCTTCTCCAGCATCATCCTAAACTGTTCCTTTTCCAACATCCCAAACTGCCTCCTTCCCCAGCACCATCCCAAGTGTCTCCTTCTCCAGCACCTCCCTCCAGCAGCTGCTCCAGCTCCTTCTCTCACTCCGCTGTGTCCGTCCCGGACATTCCACAGGCAAAGCCAGCAATGAAGATGTCAGATCACAGAATCATGGAATGGGAGCTTAAAGCTCATCCAGTGCC